AGGTGCAGCCGGGAGGGGGTGGCCCTTAGGAGAGGAGGGATTTGGGGTCCAAGAGGGTCTGGTGGTCACCCGCTCAGGTAATGGGCTGAGCTTCCAGAGAGGGAGTGCCTGAGAGAGAGGACAGCTATGGTGAGGGGACATGGGGCAGCCTCCGGGCACTAGAAAGCCAGATGCAGACACAAGGAGAGAGGACCCCACTTCTGGAGGACGGTCACTGTTGGGCACCACTATTGGGGATGGTGCCATCTTTATGGGATTCTAGCCAGTGAGACTGACACGGGACAATACCAGCACTGGTGTCAGGTGAGGTGGTTGGGGTGGGCGCAGGGTCCTCGAGGAGGCCTGTGGTCGAGTAGGTGGTAGCTGGACCTGGCAGCATAGAGGAGGGGCCCAGAGCTCTGGGAGGTGACAGGCACAGGGTTGAGGGGGGCAAGCAGGGAGGGCATGGTTCCAGGGCTGCTTCCTTAGACAGAAAATGAGACCCTGTCCCAGAGGGGGCCCAGAGACTGGGCGTGAGAGAGGGAAGTGGGGGCGGAGCTGGAGAGAACAGAGGAGCAGTGGGAGGACTGGCCTGCCACATCCTGCTGGCCAGGTTGGGAAGGAGTCGGCCGAGGCCAAGCCTGAGAGGACAGCAGAGAAGCAGAGCCTGGTGAGTTATGGCGGGGCAGAGGTGTCCGTGCAATGGGGTGGGCAGTGCCTGGTGCTGCTGTCTCAGGGCACTGTGTTTGCAGAAGCGAAAGTGTATCAAGATTATACTTCTAGGACAGACCCAGAGGGCTGAGTATTGGCCCCCCAAAATTCCTATCCACACAGAACCTTGGAACATGACCTCATTTGGAGATGGAGTCTTTCCTGGGGTAAATTAGCTCACCCTAGGTTCAGAGTGGACCCTGAAGCCAATGATTCGTGTCTTCACGAGAGAAAGGAGAGGGTGGTTTGATGCTCTGCGGGAAAGTGGCCACATGGGACAGAGGCAGAGGCTGGAGTGATACGGCTACAAGCCCAGGAATGCAGGGAGCCGTCAGCAGCAGAGGGCAGGAAGGACCCACCTCAGAGCCAGGGGGAGCAGGGCCTGCCCACACCTTGATCTCAGGCTTCTGACCTCCAGACTGTGAGTAAACGTTGGCTGTTTTAAGTCACCAGTTTGTGCAATGAAAACAGAGAAAATACCACCTCAACCTTAGGAAACCAAACCCCAACTTCATGGAGATTCAGCTTTATTTTCAAAATATTTATGCTAGCAAGACCTTTTAAGTAGAGGAGAGACACCCGTGCGTGTACCCATCACGCCTTCCTGTGGGACACTGGGGCTCTGGAGGCGACTGTGGGTCCCTTATATGTGCCCCCCACCCCCCCACCCCCCATGAGAAGGATGAGTCCTTCCTTGGGGGGAGGGGGACAACCTGAGTGCTATCAGAGCCCCGGAGCTGCTGAAAACCAAATTCAGAAGAGGGAGTGTGGGGCCACAAATGCAAATATAATCCAGATATAGACGAAGATCCTTCCTTTCCCCGAGGAAATCCCAAATGTGAGGGGGGAAGGGACCCTCTGGCACTGGGATGAGAGGACTGCAGGCTCCAGCTGTCCAGTGCGAGGGAAGGCAGGACCGGCAGGGTGTGGCTTGTGGCCAGGTGGCTTACTGGAGGGGGTGGGTTGGAACACGGATGGCGCCCGGGGCCTCAAGTTTCTGGAACAGGCAGAGGGGGCCCCTTTGTTTGCCGTGGGGTTTGGCAAGCACTCCTGCCTCTCACGGTGGCTGTTATTTAGAATATGCTGCTGTAACTCAGAAGGCAAACACTCCCAAATGTCACATATTGTTAAAGTAGAAACGAGAGAATTTGAAGAGTCTGAGGGAGGGAGAGAATTTGCAGTGTCTGAAGGAGGAGAAGAAACACTTCAGCGCCTCACGTTGGTGCACAGAACCTGGGGGGCTGCAGGCCGCCCACCGCGGGGAGGCTGGGAGCCCAGACCCCCAGGCGTGAGTGTGAGTGTGCAGGTACACACTCGTGTGACTGAGGCTGTGCAGCTGCACGTGAGGGGCATGTGAGTTCATGTGTGAGGGTATGAGCATGTGAGCAGGAGTGTGTGTAGGTATGTGGGAGATTGTGAGTGTGTGTGGAGGTTATGAGCATTATGCCAGCAAGTGTGCAAGCCACGTGTGCCAGTGCATACACACAGCCCACTGCAGGGCCGTGCAGCCCAGCCCAGCCCTGTCGGGGAGCTCAGGCCCCTTTCCCAGAAGTGGGGAGTGGGGAGCAGGGATGAGGCTGAGGCTGCTCCCTGAGCAGCTTCCTTTGGCCTTAACCCTGAGCGGGTTGGAAAGCTTTGCCAGGTGAAGGCCCCCGCTGGCCTGCCCTGGAGGGCAGCTCTGGGTGCCTACAGCCAGAGGGCTGGCGGGTTGGCCCCCTGCATGCTTGTGAAAACCAGCAAGTGACAGTAAGCCAGCCCTCCTTGGTGTGGGGAGGGCTCAGGCTGGAGTCTCCTTAGGTTAGTAGGAGTTCCCTAGGTGAAGATGAGAGGGCACCAGGGTTACCTTGTTTCTAGTGATTGTTGTGCTAATTTCAAGTCAATTTCACCTCTTCCCTAACTTGGCTGGCTTGGCTGGCTCTCTCCCGGCAGGTTCCTCTGGATGCTTGAAAGGATTTCCTTAAATTACTCGGGGATTGAGTCACTGAAGTCAGCATCCGTCTGCGGTTGGCTCTCTGAGAATCAGACTTGGCCTCAGGTCTGGGGTCAGTGAGGGATCTGGCAGAGCACCGGGGGAGTCAGGCAGCCAAACCTTGTGACAAGGCCTCAGCCCACCCCAGAGGTGGCCTTGTGTGTCCACACTGACCAGTCCTGGCTGGGAGCTGCCCCTCAAGGTCACGGAACTGTGGATGGGGCACCTCCAGGGTGGGAGGGATGTTTCAGGGAGAGAGATGACTGAGTGTAGGGTCTCTGCTGTGAGCCAGCAACAACCCACACCCCAGAGCCTCAGTCCTGGGGACTTTGAAGTACACTTCAGTACGCACCCTCAACAGCATATGATTTCTTTTTTATTTTAAAATGTCAATAATAAAGTGTAATGTTCACTATCCAGTCTTTTTAAATTCCCAGCTGTCTCTTACATGTCTACTATAAGCTGACTTGTGTTCCCCAAAATGGATGTGTTGAAGCCTTAACCTCCAACGTGATTGTGCTTAGAATGGGAGGGCATGAGAGTGGGGCCCCAGTGGGAGAAGAGTCCCGTAAGAATAGGGAGAGGGACGTGTCTCTGCCGCATGAGGACGGTGGGAGCAGGCAGGGCGCTCACCAGAAACAAACCTTGGTTTTGGGCTTCCAGCCTCCAGAACCATGAGAAAGAAACGTCCGTTGCATAGGCCACCCAGTCTGTGGCGGCCCAACGGAGACGTCATGTAAATGTGTTTTCGATCTGTCTGTCTGAGTTGGTATCCAAATCGTGCCCCATCTCACGTGGCAGTGGTGGTCTGAATCCCTTGGCCTCCCCGCTCTGCACAGAAGCCTCTCACAGGATGCCTGCACGTGCCTGTGCTGAAGGCAGCAGCCAGTCCCGCAGCAGCGGGAGCTGAGTTTGGCCTTCCTGTTGGTGAACAATGGGACCCGCAGGGCAGGTTGTCAGCTCCCTGGAACCTCTGGTCCCAGGAGGGATTAACCTTCCGGGAAGATGTCAGAGCGTGGTGGCACCAGCCCTTCAGGGCCCCATGGGCTGGGAAGAGACAGGCAAGGCTAAAACCATGTTGGTGCCTGGCATTGGTGGGATGGGAAGAGAGGCCTGCGTGAGGGCAGGAGGGGGTGGGCAGGGCAGGGGCTGCAGGGGAGGGGTCCTTAGCCTCGTGCTGTGGATGTGTGCCTGGGTCTCAGACCAGGCGCTGACGTGTTGAGCGGCCTCAGGCAGGGATGAGGCAGCCCTTTTCCTGTTTCCAGGGGTCTCCCTGGAAAGAGAGTCCAGCTTATACCACCAGGTGTTCAGAATGGGACTGGCTGCTGATGGGGCTCCTTGCCACAGTCTCTTTGTCCCTGGAGTACAGGGGACCCAGCAGGCTCAGTGTCCCAGCACACCCCTGGGACACCTCCCAGAAAGACCTTTGGAAGCCCCAGGACTTTGGAATCCTCAGGGCTCACCCAGGAGCTGGGTGCCCTGGTAAGGAAACCAGTAGGCGAAAACCATGGCCCTGCTCCCCAACATGGTCTTTGTTTCTATTATTATTATTTTTTATTAAATCATAACTTTATACACTGATGCATTTATGGGGTTTAGTGTACTGCGTTGATATACAATGTGAAATGCTTACATTGAACTAAGTAACACATCCATCACATTATACTTATTTCTTAATAGTTTTGGAATGTACCATTGCATCATGCACATTAGGTGAGGTCTCACCAAATACTCTCCCGCTTCCCATATCCCCCCTCCCATCCCCCTCTCTCCTCTTCCCTTCTACTTTCTGGACTATAGTTATGTTTTGCCATTCATATGAGCGTGTAGGTGGTTATATATTGATTTCATAGTAGTATTAAGTACATTGGATACATTTTTTCCATTCTTGAGATCCTTTACTAAGAAGAATATGTTCCTGCTCCATCCAGGTAAACATAAAAGATGTGAAGTCTCCATCTTTTTTATGGCTGCATAGTATTCCATAGTGTACATATATCACAATTTATTAATCCATTCATGGGTCAATGGGCACTTGGGTTGTTTCCATGTCTTAGCTATTATGAATTGGGCTGCAATAAACATTCTGGTGCAAATGTCTTTGTTGTAAAATAATTTTTGATCATCTGGGTATATACCTAGTAAAGGAATTGCAGGATCGAACGGTAGGTCTACCGACATGGTCTTTAGAGGCCCCAGGAGCTGGAGGGTTTGGATCGATGTCCGAGGCCTCTGGCCTAGAGTATGTTTTCTTCCAGCAGTCAGTTCTGTGGGGCCTGTGTGTCCCATCCCGGCAGGGCCGCTGCCTCTTCCTCCCTCACCTCTTCCTCCCGTCCCCCAGGAGAGCACTGCGAGGTGAATGCCCGCTCTGGCCGCTGTGCCAACGGTGTGTGCAAGAACGGGGGGACCTGCGTGAACCTGCTCATCGGCGGCTTCCACTGCGTGTGCCCCCCTGGCGAGTACGAGCGGCCCTACTGTGAGGTCACCACCAGGAGCTTCCCGCCACAGTCCTTTGTCACCTTCCGGGGCCTGCGGCAGCGTTTCCACTTCACCCTCTCACTCACGTAAGTCTCGTCCTGTGTGTCCTCAGGTGATCGTACCTCTCGCACTCCAGGTGACAACATGGGTGCATTCGGTGGTGGGCCCTTGATGGTCACTGGGCTGCCTCCATTTGTGCCATTCCGTGCACATTGAAAAGGCAGAGCCCTCGTGCCAAAATGATCCTGAACTATCAGACAGTGGCCGCAGAGCTCTAAGGCGAGTGTGGCCCTCCTGAGTTCAGGCCCCTGGGGCAGGGAGCGGCCCGGCCTTTCTGGTCCTGCTCTCCTGCCACCATGTAGGCACCTCTGATATCCAGGTGGCCAGAGGTGAAGGGAAAAGGGGCCAGTGTCTCAGGAATCCAGCCTCCTCCCAGCGTGTGACCAAGAGCTGCCTGACCCCTGACCGCTCCTCATCCAACCTGAGGACTCGGCTTACAGTGGGCAGTGCTTGTTGTTTTATTTTTGCCCCTTTTTTCCCAAGAGAATTTAGATTTAATTAAATGCTTTGATTGTGCCCCCAGAAAACCACAAAAGTTTATTCTGCAGGAACATTTAAACTGCACTTTTAGGCTCAAGGGTGTCTCCCCACGGAAGTCCCAAGAGCTACATGCTCTGCAGGTCCAAGAGGGACCCCACCCACCACTCAGGCCCTCCCTGCAGAGGGGCCCAAGGCAGCAGCACTGTCTCCTAGCTGTTCCCTCATCCTACCTCCCACATCCAGCCCAGCCCTTGCCACCTAGCTGCAGCTGCCGATGTCGCTCACCTGAGTGACATCTGGGTGACCAGGCTGGACTCATCTGGTCTTGTCCAATTCTGCTGCACCCCTGTCTACTGTCCTGCCAGGGCTGCACGCCGGGGGAGACACAGATTCTCAGCAAGCCTTGTGCCTGAACCCTTCTGACCCCTCCCACTTGCTGTACCTTGGCCTTGGTGAGGTGGCTGCATTGACCCCCTGCTGTTCTCTGCCCTGGACCTGCCTTTGGGCTCAGCACAGGTGTTTTTTTCTTTTTCTTTTTCTTTTTTTTTTTTAGCACAGGTGTTTTTTTCACCTGGAACATTCTCTCCTGGCCTCCCACTGCCCATCCACCTGACCCCACCTGTGTCCTTGAACCCTCCCTCACCCCAGCCAGGGACACTGTATCCCAGCACCAGCCGGATGGCTTGCTGCTGCCCGTTGCTTGGAACATCTGAGACCCTGATATCCCCAGTTGCAAGCTCCAGGTCCTGTCTGCCCTGACGGCCCCACAAAGGCTCAGGCATTGGCAGGGGTCTGACCTGTGTGGCTGGGTCATCCACAGATTTTCCACATTGTGGCTCTGATCCCCACTAGAGTGCCACACTCCCTGATCCTAGTGTTCCTGCCCATCAAAGGATGTGATTGTGCCCAAGTCTCCAAGACAGATACATACCTGGGAGACCTGCCTCCTGTTCTCCTGCTCTGGCTCACGGCCAGCCGTGACTGTTGTCACCATGTGGAGGTCCAGGTCTCCATTGCCGCCTCCACCCACACTAGCCTGAGGCTCCTTAGGACACTACCCTGAGATAAGGCTGTGGCCCCAGATGTCAGTGGGGCTCTCCAGCTCTTCCAGGGGAAAGGCTCTTGGGAGTGGATTGAGCTGCAGAAGTGGGTATACAGGGCATTCTGTTGGGGGTGTACTGAGACAGGCCCTGGCTCTGTCCCCGCCAGCCCCGGGTGAGGCCTCCTCTGAGGAGCATATTCTGTTGGACTCTGGTCTCAGGTGACTATCCCGAGCCTGCCCTGCCCACAGTGGGCAGCAGGGACAGTGGTGGTCATCTTGAGCAGCTTTCTGTGCCCGGCTGGTGGCTGAGGCACCAGCACCCTTCTCACAAGACCCCGTGAGTAGGCACTGCCCTGTCCCTGTCTTACAGGTGGGGAAATAGAAGTACAGAGAGGTTGTGGAACTTGCCCAATCACAAGGCTAGTGCGGTGTCCCCCTGCCCCCACCCCCAGCTGCTCAAGGCTTACTCTCCCAGAGGGCAGGCACTTCCCAGGGTCTGTCCATCGGCTTACTCTCCCAGAGGGCAGGCGCTTCCCAGGGTCTGTCCATCCTGCTGAGTTTTTACTTTCAAGACAGACTTTAATGAAATGCTGAGTGGCTCCCATTTGCTGATCTCAGGTGCAGGCTGGGCCCTTCACTTTACTTCTGACCTTGAGGGCAGGGCATCTTGCTGGGCCCCTAGAAAGCAGGGCACTTGGGAGACATAGGCCCAGCCCAGTTCAGCCTCCTGGCTGTTGTTTGAAGTCTGACCATTTGGACACCTGTTGTGTCCAGGGTTTGCCCATTTCATTCTGTCCCTTGACCATGGCTCCGCCACTTTCTGATCCTCTGACCGTGGGCAAGTGACTTCCCCTCTCTGTGCCTCACATCCTATAAATGGGTTAAGGAGGGTCCCTCCCCCAGGGGCATCCTGAGCAGCAGTGCCTGGCAGCTGGTGGTTGCTGTCCCGCCCTCCTGCCCCCCCTTCCTTTTGCAAAAGGATCAGTGTCACCTCATAGCACAGTCAAGCACTGGCCTGACACAGGCAGGCCCTGGGGCATTGCTCTCTGGACAGGCCTCAGAAACATGTGGCTGTGTCCCATGTGGCTTGGTGTTGGCCACAGGCCTTCTGTGGGTGTCTGCCCCCCAGATCAAACACACTGTGTCTTCCTTCTGCAAACATGTCGTGACATGTGACAAGTGTGAGCTGGGCACGTGACTTGGGTACGTATATAGTCATGGTCACCTGGCGTGGGCAGCAGCCCTCAGTCACGTGCATGGCACTGACCTCTGGCAGTTTAATAAACTGCAGGAGGGTTACCCACGGGAAGCTGGCCTAAGAGGGGTCCAGAAGTCCTGGAGCCAGAGGCCAGCAAGGGAAGTCTGCTGGCTCCACACACACAGAGAAAGTGAAAAATATGTATATTTTTTAGTTTTTTTCATTGATATATAATAGTTGTGCTTTTTTTTTTGAGACAGAGTCTCACTTTCTCGCCTTCGGTAGAGTGTCATAGTAGCGTCGCACAGCTCACAGCAACTTCCAGCTCTTGGGCTTAAGTGATTCTCTTGCCTCAGCCTCCCAAGTAGCTGGGACTACAGGCACCCGCCACAACTCCCGGCTATTTTTTTGTTGCAGTTTGGCCGGGGCCGGGTTTGAACCTGCCACGCTCTGTATATGGGGCTAGTGCCCTACTCACTGAGCCACAGGCGCCGCTCAATAGTTGTACATATTTTACAATACTTACATACAACGTGTAACAATTACATCAGGGAGGCAGAATAGCCATCGCCTCAAACATTTCTCATTTGTGTCGAGAACATTACAATTCTCTTCCCTGGTGTTAACTGTGATTTCCTGACTGTCCAGTGTTAGAGCTTGTTCCCTCTCCCCAGCCCTGTTTCTGGGCCCCTCGGCCCTCGGCCCTCCCCAGGCTCTGGTGCCCCGACTCTGCTCTGTTTGGTGTTTAGCTAAATGTCTGAGGCAGTAACGTCAGGCCACTCGCCTGTCGGATTAGTGTACAAGAGATTATCACACCCGACAGTGATTTGTGGATGACTTCCCTTCCCCAGGACAGGCGGCGGCTGAGAAATCAAGGTGCGAGGTAAATCAGTGAGTGTTTTGTGGGGAGTGACTTTAAAAGCAAAATCATAAAAAGGCGTCCCAAATCTTCCAGAACTTTTGCACTTTGGGGCCCGTGGTGGCCTCTCCTGCCAGGAACGTGGCGCCTTGAGAGCCAGGTGGGGCGTGGGCCAAGCTGCTTCTGTTCAGGTGGTTTCTTTGAGGCCTGTCTCCTCTTTCTGGTTTCTGTTTGCCAAGTGCTGGGGCTCCCCAGTGGGCTGTGGGCTCCGTTCCCAGCTGCCTCTCACGTCCCCCCAACATTCTTTGTTCTCCTGCATCCCCTGCGCCCCACCCTGCCCAGCTCTGGTTTCTGTTTTCTAGCTCTTCCTCCTTTTGCACTCTCACGTGGTTTCCATCCTCCCTCAGCCTCCGTCCTGTCTTTATTTCCCTGTCTCTGGATGAAGTACTTGCCAGGGGTCAACAGCACAGGACGACTGGTCACAACACCAAGGACCAGTTTCCACCTCGGTGCAAAGAGAAATGTACAAAAGTGAAACCTAACAAAGGTTAGGGCGGCCGACCTGCCTGCATCTGGGGAACCAGCCTGGCCTTGAGTTGGTCCCTTCTGCTCGCTCCATGAGCAGACCTAGACCTAATAGGTCTAGTTTGTGGTGCAGATTTTTTTTTTTTTGAGACAGAGTCTCACTATGTCGCCCTGGGGAGAGTGCCGTGGCATCACAGCTCACCGCAACTTCAGACTCTTGGGCTTAAGCGATTCTCTTGCCTCAGCCTCCCAAGCAGCTGGGACTACAGGTACCCACCATAACGCCTGGCTATTTTTTTCTTGCAGTTGTCGTGGTTTTAGCTGGCCGGGCGGGTTCCAACCCACCAGCCTCTGTGTATGTGGTGGGCGCCAAGCCAGGTATTTTTCCTTCGGTGCTTATCACCAGTTCTCAGTGGCTTTCTAAATAGAGGGGACCCAGGGTCCATAAGGGAGCTGCCAATGTCACATTTACTCAGTAGAAAGACTCAGAGCAGGTGCTCGAGGCTGGTTCAGACTCTTGCTACAGGAAAATGGATAAACCAACCTTCAGTCGAAAGAAGGAATCCCTGCCACTTAACCTCTGACAGTAGAGACAGCCCGTCCTCAGGGGCGAGTCCTGAGTGCACGCAGGGGAGTGCCGAGTCCTCTGCATCAGGGGTGACAAGGGGTGTTGGGGTGATTCAGTGGGACTGTTAGAGGACCACGGGGGTGGGAGCATTTCTGAAGGATTATCCCTCCATGTAAGTGGTTCTTTACTCTTGGAGTGTGTGAAGTTCTGACGGCTCTGCTGGTTTCAGGATCCGTTCGTTCTTTCTTGCCTCATCCGCTCACTCACTCACTCTCCACATCGTCATGGATTGCTGGTGCAGACCAGGCTATTTCGGCTGTGGGCTGCGGCAGTAAATGAGAGTCCCTCATTCTTACAAACAAGTAAAAAAGGAGAATAATTTCAGAAATAAACTTTTGTTTGTGATGGACCGATGGGGCCGGCTTGGATAAGATGAGTTGGAGAAGACACACTTGGGCTGGCCCCTCAGAGCTCTGCAGAGCCAGCAGGGACGGCTGCTTCTGGCAGAAGGGGCAGTAGGTGCAGAGGGCCTGGGTCTTAGGTGCGGCCGGAGCGTGGTGGGGCCGGGGGCAGGCCCTGAGCTCCTTCAGCAGCATCCCTGGGTGGGAAGGTGCCACATCCCCTGCCCCTGGCACATCTGGGAAATCTATTTCTAGCAACAAATGTGTTCAAAGACTTGGGTAAATGGTGTGTTGGCTGCTATCACACTTCTAGAACATTATGCAAATAGAGTGTCACGTTCTCCAGCCCGTGGTCACCAGATTTCCCCCTCGATTCTGCCTTGCATCTTCCAGAAAAGAACATTAATGTGTTCAGGTTTGACGGGAAGGACGAGTGCCCGGCATAAAGGCCTTCCCAGCACCGTAGCCTGCATGTGTGCCCTCCCCTGGCGGGGCCTGTTGCTCCTGGGCAGCCTTGGAGCCTCGGCTCTTCCCATGTGACGCTCTTCTGCTTGGCCCGCAGGTTTGCCACCCGAGAGAGGGACGCCTTGCTGCTCTACAATGGCCGCTTCAATGAGAAGCACGACTTCATTGCCCTGGAGATCGTGGAGGAGCAGCTGCAGCTCACCTTCTCCGCAGGTGGGGCCTCCTGGGAGGTGGTGCCTTGCTGGTCACGGCCGCCCTAGTCCTGAGCAGAGCCTCCGCATCCATGCCGTGCTCCCTTCCATAATTCTGCCTCTAGGAACCGGCCCGTAGGAGCAATCCAGAGATGTCCATTGCTGTGTAGCTGTTGTGTATAATGTTGAACATATGCAAGATATAGCTCATATTTTTAAAAAGAGAGGAATCATTAAATAAATAAGTGTGGCACATCTCTAGATTAAAAATACTGGAAAAGCCATTAAAGATTTTATCCTAGTTGTTGGGAAAGAAAGAGCATCTCTCCAGACTGCTAGTGGGGGTGTCTGGTTTCTGGCACCAGTGATTTTTAGGGGTGAATTATACCTGCTTCTCCTGCTCTCTTCTTTTTTTTTTGCAGTTTTTGGCCGGGGCTGGGTTTGAACCCACCACCTCCGGTATATGGGGTCGGCGCCCTACTCCTTTGAGCCACAGGCATCACCCTACCTGCTTTTCCTCTGCCTGGAAAGTCACCAGGTTGGCTCAGAGGTCCTTGTGGCCCTAGAGCCCTGGCCCTGCTGATTTGCTTATGTGTGACAGTAGAGGTAGTGTCTTTGTCATTTGTATGGAATAGAGAAATAGAGCACCAATGACACCAGCCAGCCCATAGGTGCCCTGATGGGACCCTGTCACCCTGTGTCCACGAAGCTCCTTTCCCCATCCTCCCAGCCCTGCTGTCCCGGCAGTGTTTCAGCCAGAATCCTAGGGTGGGGACTCCCAGCTCCCCAACCCCCGGAGCAAGAGCTCTAGGGGTGAATGTGACACAGTGCCCTGGGACAGAGACATCCTTTCTGTGACCTCACGAAGGGTTGTGTTATGTGGTTAAATAGTTGTTAAGAATGTGGGACAGGCGACGCCTGTAGCTCAGTGGTTAGGGCGCCGGCCACGTACACTGAGGCTGGCAGGGTCGAACCTGGCCCAGGCCAGCTAAAACAACAATGACAGCTGCAGCAAAAAAAAAATAGCCAGACATTGTGGTGGGCACCTGCAGTGCCAGCTACTTGGAAGGCTGAGTGAGGCAAGAGAATCACTTAAGCCCAGGAGTTTGCTGTGAGCTGTGATGCCATGGCACTCTACCCAAGTAGACAGCTTGAGATCATGTCTCAAAAAAAAGTGGGGCAGAACTTACAATATGTTATTAGGTGACCAAAAAGGCAAAGTCCCGAATCCACATGGACAGTTTAGTCTGAGCTGAGGTGTCGTGTAGGCAAAGGGGAAAGGCCCCGAGACAGCGTCAGGGAGCCCTCGCCCCACTCACACACCGTCTGCCTTCTCTACACTTACCGATTCATATTTTAAAAACATGAATGAGAATTATTTTTGTAATCAGAAAAGACAGATGGAGTACTGGGGGCCCCTGGGGTGCTGAGGGGAGGGCAGGAGGATAAAGCCAGGTCTCTGGACACCCCCCGGGACCAGGGGTCTCCAGCAGGCCCTCAGCCCCTGCTCTCTCGGTCTCCCTCCCTCTGTGCAGGTGAGACGACGACGACTGTGGCGCCGCAGGTCCCCGGGGGCGTGAGTGACGGGCGGTGGCACTCTGTGCAGGTGCAGTACTACAACAAGGTAGGACCCTGGCGGCTGCGGCGCTGCCCTGGCAGCAGCTGTTCTGAACTGAGACATTTATACTCGGAAATCTTTGAAAGTGTGCTATCGGGAAAAGTGATTTTGGAGTCCTGCTGTTGTGGAGGGTCCATGAAGACACACCCCAGCCCCCCCCCCCCGGGGGAGGGGATATTCCCACGGTGGGGGGGGGCACAGAAAGAGCTTATTCTTCTGAAGGGCCTTGGCCAGGGCCATTACTGGCGGCTAAAATTCCAGGCCATTCAGACACAACTTCAGAGCCAAGATTGTCCGCTATACCTGGATGTAACTGGAGAGTCGGGCCGTTCTCCAAGGAAACGCTGGGAAGGCGTAGGCGTTTCTTGTTTCGCTTTATTTTGCTGTTTACCGGCTTCTGAGGAAACGCATTGTTGGGTTTTGGGTTGCTGTGCTTTTCGTGCCTGAGTCTACAAGCCACTTTTCTCCTTCCTTGGAGCTCCAAGGGCCGCCAAGCTCCTAAGGGTCTATGTTGCCCTTATCCCCACCACTGAGCCCCACCACAGCCCCTCTAGGCCTGAGCTTGAGCAGCAGACAGGGGTCCCTCCTCTCTGGGAATCACCTGTCCTGCTCTGGAGGGAGTGTCTCCCACCTGCCTGCCTTTCGCACCCCCTGGCATCCCTACCACCACCAGGCCTGAGGTTACTCCTCAGCCCTGCTGGGCATCACAGGCTCTCTGCCTCCTAGGCCTGCCCCTTATGTCTCACTGTCTCCAGGTGGCTCAGTGACCGTGACTGGTGTCCTGTGTCCTGTCAGTGCCAGTGCAGGGCAGGAGGAGCTTGAGGTTCCCTTGGGGGCTGAGCCCTCGGAATTTCTGGGACAAGAGGGTTCCTGGGGCAGAGGCTGGGCTGCCTGTGAAGGATGTCACCTCTGAGGAGGTGGAGGATGATGGCCAGGGGGAAAGGAGGAGACTCGAGGGCTGGGCAAGAGGAAGAGACAGGCCAGGGAACTCGGCCTGCTTGCTGTGGTCAGCCCCTTCCCAGGACTGGAGTCTTTTCATGATGTGACGCCTCCCATGGCCATTTGTGCAGTGACTGGCCAGTGTGAGTCCACCTGCTCCTCCCCTGGCCTGTGCCTCCGTGGCCCCTGTGAGAAGCAGCTGGGGGCAGCTGGCTCCTAAGGGCCCCATCCCCCTGCACATCCTTGCAGGCTCCAGGTTGGATCATGGCCTGGCTTTTCCTTCCCATGTCATCTTAATCTGTGAGACACTTTTCCCCAGCTGCCGTCCCATGGACCTCTCAATCCCACTGGGCTGCTCTGGAGAACGGCTTCCGTCTCTTTTGGTCCCACCTTAGTTTTTCTTTGCCATATAACCTGCACTTCACATGGGTCCTTCCTGCCCCCTCCTGGTGTGTGAGTGACCAGATGGGGACTGGAAGCCCCCCAAGGGCAGGGCTGTCCCGTGCACCTCTGTCCCCACAGTGCTGGCCAGGACGTGTGCTGGCAGCAGAACTCTTAAGAGGCTGAGTCCTCCCCGGCCCAGAGTCCATGGTTTTCTGGCCCAAACACATCCAGGCTGTTGTCCCAACATGGAACACACCCTATGGAGGAAGACGGAAAGAAAGCAGTGCCCAGGGACAGTGCCCTTGCAAGCTGCTGCTCCCGGGGCAGGCGGCTGCCATGTTTCAAGACATTCTGCCCTGTCGTGTGGCTCTGCCCACCACTGAACACTGGGCCCTTCCAATCAGCCAGCCGGCACTGGACAACACTGTGTGATGCTCCCCAGTGTGTGCGCCCCACACGGGGCCCTGGGGCGGCGCTCCATTGTCAGGGGAGCAGAGACCAGCGCGCAGTGCAGCTTCCTTCCTGCTGTGTCTGAAACCCAAATCCCAGGCTGAGAGCTCTTTGATGGGGGTGGGGCAGGTTATGTCAGCATTGGTCTCCCCATCAGGGCACCCCCATGCTGTGGAATCTCCTGCTCATGGCAGCAGCAACCGTGTGTTCACAGTTGAGGGGCACAAAGCCAGGACGCTGGTGTAAACACTGCTGCCCGGCTGTCCCACCCTCCCCGCCCTGGCTCTGATAGGGGCCTGCCTGCCACCATGGCCTTTCAGATGGCTCAGGGGTGAAGTCACCACTGCAGGACACCACCTGGGGTGTCCTGGAGAAGGCGGGAGCTGAGGGTAACAAGACAGCCGGGGCAGGTGGATTATGGCAATCCAGTGCTTCCGACTCCAGGGCTGGTCCTTTCAGCAGCTCGGGATTAGGCCTCACCACGAGCTCACCTGCACCCGGCTGTTTCTCTTGCCTGGGGTTATTTTATGGAGGAAGCCAACCAGCCTTCACTTACATCTTTAGGCGTCTGTTAGAGGTTTATCTCGGCCACACAACGGGAAATGTTAGCAGAGATTAGGCACATCTGTCTGTGGGAAGGGTATGTTGTTTCTGCGTGACTTTTGTTCCAGAGCTGGTGGCTCTTACATATCCAGGTGCAGTGAAGTCCCTGGAGGCTGCCTGGGGCTGGGGTGGGGCAGGACAAATCAGGCTGTGAGTGGCCTGAAGCTGGGGATGCTGCCAGAACAGTAAGGAGGGGCCGGCTTTGAAAATGGTCTGTGGGCTCGGCACCTATAGCTTAACCGGCTAAGGCACCAGCCACGTACACCTAAGGTGGCGGGTTCGAATCCCCAGCCCGGACCCACCAAACAACAATGATGGCTGCAACCAAAAAAAA